TGATTCTCATTGTCTTTTCCTATTATATTTTTAAAAAATTTTTGGAGTGTTGGTTTGGTATTCATGAAGTTCCTCAAGTGTTTCTTGTCATGAAGGTATGTTATTTCTTCATCAATTTGGAATAGTTTTGCAGAGTACATCAATCTGGGTTGGATACAGTTTTCATTTAGGGCTTGAAATACATCACTCCAAGGTCTTCTTGCTTTGCATGTTTGTATTGAGAAGTCTCCTGGGATTCTAGTGAGCTATCCTTTGTATGTGACTTGTTTCTTTTCTCTAACTCCTTGTAGGATTTTGTTCTGTTGGGTTTCTCAAATCTCAACTATTATATGGCTATGTGTAGATTGTTTTGATCATGGCTAGTTGGAGTCTTATATGCCTCACTAATCTGTATTTCAAGTTCTTTTCTCATATATGGGAAGTTTTCTGCCATTACTTATGTGAACATTTTTTTATGTTGTCTACACTCTCTCCTGTTTCTTTTTTGACTCCAATCAGTCTGATGTTATTCTTCTTTGTATTTTCTAGCAGCTGATGGATTTATTTCTCATGGTCCCTTACTATTTTTAAGAATTTTTTTTCCTGCTCACTAATTGTCATCCTATCATCTATATCTGAAATTCTGTCCTCACATTTCATCATTCTGCTCTATAAACTTTCAATGGAGTTTTTAATCTCCTTGAAATCTGTTTGCATCTGTGTTATGGATTCAATTTGTTTCCTATGATGGGATTCCATCATGTTCCTCACCTCCTCTATTTTTTTATCTGTCTTCTCCAGATTTATTAATCATGTCTTGTACTATGGGCACAATCTCTGCTGTTATCTGAGAAATTATTTCTGGTTTGATTTTTCCAGGTCTTCTTTCATTGACAGTTCAGTGAATCCAGTTGGTTGAGTACCAGATTGTTGCATCTCTTTGCCCTTTGGTGTTGACCTAGGTGATCTGGAAATCTTGTTTTGAGACTTATTTGTGTATCTTCTCATTTCAACAGATGCACCCTGCTGTGCTCACATTTCTTGAGGTGACTTTTTGGTCACCCAGTGGTTTTAAATTCTCAACAAGCCACTGAGCAGCCTTTACTCTACTGCTCACCAGTACACCAATTCCTGTGTTCATTGTGCTGGTCTTCGTTATCCCTGATCTGACCTCTTGTCTAGGTGTGCTTCTGGCTGGGGCTTCTATGCAGCTGTTGTGCACACTTGGGATGGTATGTAGGTGTGCCTCTCACAGGTCTCTATGTACCTGTTGGCTGGGAGGGCCTTTGGCTGGGGGCTGTGCAGTCCAGTTCCTGTTGTCTGCACAGGCTTTGGTTAGGGTCTCCATCCATGTATCATTGGTATTCTGGTGAGCCTCTAGGTATGGCTTGTGAGCCTGTATAGCTCTTTTCCAGGTGGGTCAATGGCTGTGGCCAATTTTATGGTAGGCCTCTGGCTGAAGCTTGTGCACTTGTGCAGCTCTTTTCTACATTGGAATTTGGCTTGGGTGGGTGTTCATGAGCCTCTGGTTTTGGAGTGGACCCCTGGCTGTGATCTTCCTGCAGCTGGTCAGGTCTGGGCCTCACGGCTACTTCCTTGGATATGTGCACAATTACTGAAGGAATGACCAGCCTCTGGGTCTCCCGCTTGCTTGTTCTCCCCTCTTGTTCCCTTCCTTTTCCCTAATAGCCCACTCAGCTGTCATGATTCTCTGTCTCTGTGTCTCTCTCTGTCTCTCTGTCTCTCTCTCTCCCCACCTTCAAATCTATCTCCTATCTCTTATTATTAATGCAGTACTGGGGTTGAAACTCAAGGATAGATGTATGCTATACAATTCTAGCAATAATGTACACCGGCAAACCATACTCAATTTCTGTGTCTAACAATCATCTCTGTTATTTTCCTAAAATTTGTCATTGTCAGTTCCTTATGAGGAAAGAAATATCTTCCCTGCCCCATGTTTTTAACCAGTGAGCTGAACAAACTTTCTTGAAAAATTGTTCTGTGAATGGATGAATCTGCAGTTTTGCATATATACACATACAGAGAATTAAAAAAATAAATAAATGAAGCCTTAGTCTTGATGGAAAAATTTCATCTTATCTTACTGATCACCTATTTTCAGTAAAGTTGATGTTCCATATTATTCCATATGAGGCAGGAAATAATCTTGTAATTAATTATTTATTTCAGTGTTCTGGATGGAATCCAAGGCCTAGTCCATGCTAGGCAAACACTCTACCACTGAGTTATTTTACAAGCCCATAAAATAATCTTTATAATGGAGGTTTCTCTTATAGTAAGCATGTCCCTTAAGCCTCTCTGTATGGACTTGTAGGATTGGTGAATTTGCTGGTGATAATACACTTTGAGTAGGCAGTGTTGAAGTGTAAAGGTGTTTTCTTAACCAGAACAAAGAAGTGCCTCCCAGGGTTAAGGTATATGTCAGTGGCAGAGCAATTATTCAACATTCATGTGGCCCTGTGTTGGATCCTTACCAACACACACACACACACATCTAATCACTTCCTTGTGATTTTATTCTCTTAGAATTGCAATCCTGTCTTCTATACAAGTTTTTAAAAATAGCAATGCATTATTTTCTATGTTACCTTTCTCTTTGAAACACAAGATAATAGATGTTCTGATGTCTTTTAATTCAGTTTTTCATAAACAGTTTTATTGACATATAATTCTCTCATCATGCAAATCATACATCAGAAGTGCATAATTCAATAGTTTTCAGTGTAGTCATAGACATGTGCCGTCCTCATGGCAATCTCAGAACATTTCTGTCAACTCACTGAAAAATAATTTTGTACTTTTAAGTTATCCTCCATCCTTTAAAAAATAAAAGCAATAAAATAAAATTAAAAAATTAAAAATAAAGAACAAGAGAAAGCAAAATTTTTATCATTTTGCTTGTGTAAATACATATAATATGTATATACCATATATTTCTATTTTTAAAAAGTGTTACAAGTATAGGGATAAGATTATAATTACTTCACTATCTACCTTGATCCGATTCATTTTCATGTATCTAACATTGTGGACAGCATGTGATCTGCAAACTTTCAAAGATTCTTTAAGGGCGGCTCTACACAGACAATTGTTTTTAAGTTTGGTACCTTGTAGAAATTTCTTTCCTTAGGGGATACTTTGTGACTTTTAAATCAAACAAAGGAAAAAAATAAAAGTCTTTCTTTTTGGAAGAAATAATTCTACTTTCATTTATTGCTGCCTACATAGATGTGAAATTGGCTTAGACTTTTTCTTTCTGTTATCTTCTCTGCACCACATGGGAGCTGAATTATTTGGAGACCAGGAAGAAAATAGAACAATTTATTTAATGAGGAACTCTGAGAATTCAACAGTTGAGATGCTAGGAACTTTAAACATGCCCTATTGCTCCTTATCTATAATTCTTTCTTCCCGACCTCTGTGAAATCTCAGTGGATTTTGAGGGAGAGATCATGGAGACAGGATATCTGCAGTGCAGCCACTGGAGAATGTCAGTGTTTCCTAGTGAGCCTGTTTGAGTAAGAAAAAAGCAGAAGTGGGTACTGGCCTTTACTGAAAATAATAGTTCTAAAACAGATCAATGTTTATTTAGTCTATGAAGTTTCTCTATTTGGAAGGTACTTTATTTTCCACTGAATCATCTTTTTCAGTTTGCACTCTTTTTTTTTTCTACAATTCAGAACCTTTAAATTGGAAATTAATATTCCTTGAATATCAAATTTTCTGGAGAGTCTCTCTATATCTTTCTGAACTCTGTCATAAATTGCAGATTCTGATGCAAAAATAATTTATGTTTAAAATTCTCATTGAAGATCTATTATGCATGACACATTGTCTATCTTGTTCTTAATGTAATTGCATTTTTGTTTTATAATTTATTTTTGCTGGTTAATTTGATTTATTCATGTCACTGAATAGTTCTATAGTGTTATTGTTGTCCTTTGTATTGTTTCTTATTTTTGGTGTCTTCAAAATAATGCAATGTTATAATTATTTCTGATGCTTGGTACTCAGCCTGATTTTCTTTCTCATCTTATTGATCTCTTTCAATTTTTCAGTAAATATTGAATGACTGAATTTGGGCTACACTGTCTTGGCATGTTTCAGAGTTTAACAGATATTGTAGCACTTGATTTGGGCATATTTTGTTGACTATGGACACAGATGTGGTAGTAATTGATCTTGGCGTATCTTGTTAGGTATGATTTTCAACAATTTTTGTACTGGGTTAAAAATTTGTCCTTGATTTCCTTATGTCCCAAGAGACTCTGCCTTAATTGCTAAGAACATTAATGACTGTGAAAGATTCTCAAAGCCTTTCTTTCTGTTGTGATTATCGTTATGGTTTCTCTTCACTAGCCTAGTTTTTATAGGCTATGTTTAGCATTTTCATCTGGATATTTGCTGCCCATTAGACATCTGAATTTGTTGAACACCTACAGTGTGATGGGGATTATGTGAGACCCTGAAAATACAAATGATTAGATAAAACTGTCACAACCTCAGACCCACAAATCAATATTAACCTGTGAATGTGAGAGGGACACAAGGAAGATTCTAGGAAGCTCTACTGTGGGCCTCACACACAGTGTCCCTCATGACCCTGGTCCCTGCTCTACACTGCTATGGCCTTTCAAATCCCCTCCTACCCAGCTCATTGTCTCAAAAAATAATGGCACATTCTTTTCTTTTAAACTGGAATGTTTGCTCCTTCTGTGCTTCCCCTGATTAATAAATATCCATCCTTCCTGTCTCAGCTCCAACTTAAGTATTTCAAGAAAAACTCCTCCTAATTTTGACAGAATGAATTAGTCTTCAATAATGTCTTTTCTATTTTGAATTAATTAACTTCTTCAGGCTTTCATAGTACTGAATCTTTTATATAATTAAGAATTGAAACATTTATTTTTAATCATAAGTTTGCATTTTAATTTCTCTAGCATGACTGAGTTTATACAATGACAGACTATTTGTAATCAAATCCATGAATTGTACATTTTAGTCATTAACTCTGATTATTTTAATACTATGCCTTGCATAGATGAGCACACACAATACAAGTTGGCTTCTGTTTGATTTAAATGATGATGTATGTTTTCTCCTCCTTTCATTGATGTAGTGCAAATAACTTTTTCTCTTTTTGAGCCATTCATCTGACTGGAATTCCCTGAAAGAAGGAGACTTGGGGAACGTTATACATTAAAAATGCTGAATAGTGTCTAAAAGAGGTAACACACCTGCTATATTTATGTTGTTCAGAATTTCATCCTTGATGGCTGCCCCAGTTAAGTGGCATATTGATAACTGATAGTCATGCAGGACAGATTTTTTGTGATGCTCACAACAGAAGCTCATGAGTATGAAATGTTCACAACACTTAGGAGAACAATCATACACATTATTGTCATTTAATTTATCCTCTAATTTAACCTCATTGTGAATATATATGACCCCTACTGTGGAAAGGAATCACATGTTAAAAGTTGAAATTATTTTCTCAGGATCCCACAGATGGTATATTGATGAAATAAAACTATATTAATGGAAGTCTGACTTAATCCAGTTTGTAAATCACAGCTCTCTACTGTACCTTGGAAAATTTAGGTATCCAAAGAATTATCATAAAGGGAGAGTTTAATCATCATAATATTAACAATAACAAAAACACTTATTGAGACTCTATGAACAGTACATTTTGGAGCTCAAAAATATAGTAATAATAATAATAATACATTTAAAAAGAAAAATATTAGGAAGTGGTGTTAACTTTCACAAATCTATGAAGTGCCACCTCAAAGAATGAAGGTTATCTGAGTTGAAAATTTATTTTTAATCACTATCATAGACCTTCAGTTATAAGTAAAAAATTAAGATTATAAGGAAAAAAATCATGAAATGTTTTCAAATATTTTGGAAGGTTCATATCAAAAAATTAGTTGATGTCCATAGATTCATATATAAATGATAGTAGAGTGTTTTGTATAATTTTTTAAAATTCTGAGTAATTATATATAAATTTTATGTATTTAAAGATGTACAACTTTTCATTTAGAATATTTTAAAATGAAAATGAGATTATACATGGCTGACTGAATCACAAACATTGGGTGGATCTATTAGACATTGAAGAACATCTATCCATAAACGATTCTATAAAGTGACAAATATGTGCAGTGGCAGGTGGCTGTCCTTAAAGATTGCATTATTTTCCTTCCCAGTATAAGCACCAACCACATGGAAGCAGCAAACTATATGTGTGCCTCAGAACTAGTCCTCCTGGGCCTTTCAGAAGATCCAGGACTTCAGTCTCTTTTGTTTGGACTATTCCTGTCCATGTACCTAGTCACAGTGCTTGGGAACCTGCTCATCATCCTGGCCATCAGCACTGACTCCCACTTCCACATCCCCATGCACTTCTTCCTCTCCAACCTGTCCTTTGTGGACATCTATTTTACCTCTACCACAGTCCCGCAAATGCTGATGAACATCCAGGCACAGAGCAAAGGCATCTCCTACATAGAGTGCCTCACTCAGGTGTACTTTTCAAATACTTTTGTTGGGATGGATAATTTCCTTTTGACTGTGATGGCCTATGACCGCTTTGTGGCCATCTGCTACCCACTGAAATACACAGTTATCATGAACCCCAGGTTCTGTGGCCTTTTAGTTCTCTTGTTTTGGATCACAATGTCCTTGGCTTCCCTGATCCACATTCTAATGATGAAGAATCTTACTTTCTCCACAGTCACTGAAATTCCCTATTTATTCTGTCAACTGGCTCAGATTCTCAAGGCTGCCAACTCTGATACCCTTATCAATACCATCTTCCTATATGTGGCGACTGTATTGCTGGGTGTTCTCCCTGTCACAGGGATCCTCTTCTCTTACTCTCAGATTATCTCCTCCTTACTGAGCATGTCCTCCACTGCAAGCAGGTATAAAGCATTTTCCACCTGTGGGTCTCACCTATGCATGGTCTCCTTGTTCTATGGAACAGGACTTGGAGTGTACCTCAGTTCTGCTGTGACCTATTCTTCCCATAGAAGCAAGATCGACTCTGTTCTGTACACTGTGGTAACCCCCATGCTGAACCCCTTCATCTACAGCCTGACGAACAAGGATGTGAAGTGTGCCCTGGGAAGACTCCTCAGCAGAGCAGCCTCTTGTTTGTGATGGACCACTGACCTCAGAACAAAATGGACATGGTGCAAATGCTTTAAATATACCTCATATTTTCCATTCCATATAACTTTGGTTTTATATATATTTCTCCTCAACAACTCCCTCAGTACTTTCTTTGTAACTTTTCTTTCCTATAAATAATCCATAAAGTTCCAAGATTGGCAACTTTTGTTATATGCATTCCTAATATTTTCACCTTGACTTAAATAAAAATACATATATTGTTGACATGGTTTCCTCAAAATATATTACTGGGTGTAAATATTAATGTTATTCATTTTAATTTTATTTTGCTCTTGTTTTTCCTGAAAGAAATAGAATGAAGGCATCAGAGTGATAGCCATATCAGTACTGTGCATCACTATTTTTATGAGTTTATTAGGGCAAGAAGGAAAGATTCTAAGGGAAAGCCTGACACCTGGAACTCGAAACCACACACATTCCTACCTTTTCTCTCCCTCTTGTTGTAGCAACAATGGTTGGATTCTCAAATTCTACAGATTTGGACTACAAAAAACATAAATATTCCCAGTTCCAAACTTTAGCTTTTCACTCTATTTTCAGGGCCTGCAGTCTATTTATTTTAGTGTGTACTTTTATATTTCTCCTGAATAAATCAATTTTTGTCTCTTAAAAGGATTGGATTTTGAACACAAATGCTGGAATCTAGCTTAGAAAGCAATTTCTCATATGACTCATAGAGATATAAATGCCTATGATAACTCTTGAAATGTTACTTTATTCTTTGTGATCTTTGTTCTTTTCATTCTTCCTTCCCTCTGTCCCTTGCTCCAATTTTCCTACTTCCTTTTCTCCATTTTATTAGTTGCTGCTAAACATTTTTTCATCCTGTCTGTGACTGAATAATATTTTACATGAAGTGTACACTACATGTTGTTTATCCATTCATCCACAGATGGACATTATTAATTTCAATCTTTTACATAGAGTTGCTAGCACATCTGTGGTTATGCATGCACCTTTGTTTGCACACAGTCATGTGCTGCAATTATGTTTTGGTAAGTGGGAGACTGTATATATAATAGTGGCCCCATAGCATTAGATTACCTAGAGATATCAGAACCATGTTAATGTGTACAAATCTACTCTACAAATCAAATCTACTCATTTGTAAGATGATAAAATTGCCTAGTGGTACATGTCTGAAAACCTATCCTATTGCTAAGAAGCATATGAATATATTGCTTATCAGTTTTGGGGGTCATATGTATAGTAGTTAGACAGATGTTTCATATAGTGATTGCATTTTTAACTTTTTGAGGAAACTGCTAAAGCATTTTTATTGTAGCTGGATTTTTTTTTACATTCTAATGTCTGTAGTTTGTGATATAATCACAACTTTGGTAATACTTGGCAAATTTTTAATGGAAAGTACAGAATTTGATTGGCTATGGAGTGCTCTCTCACTGTGTTTTTATATGAATTTCCCTATGACCAACTGAGCACATTTTCTCATATTTGTTGGCAGTTTATATATTTTCTGAGAATTATCTTATTAACTTTTTTCTCATTTAGCAATTTGTGTGCATTTTACTTTTGCTTCTGACTTGTAATAGTTCATTATTACATATTTTGGATACTTGACATATTAAATATGTGTTTTGCAATTATTTTCTCGATTCCATTTGATAAATTTCCATTTTTCTCAAGTACACAATTTATTTTTATCAACTGTATTCATCATGTTGTACAATAGAACTCTTGTAGTTATTCCTGACTTAACTGAAATGTGTGCTTTGACCCTAACTCATCAAATCCTATCCCTGTGGTTTCTGGCAGCTGTCAATTTTGCTCAGCTTCTATGACTTCTGCTTTTCAGAGATCCATCCATATAAAAGTGAACTTATGTGGTGTTTGCTGCCTATGTCTGGGTCCTTTAATTTCACTTCACATAATGTCATATGGATTCTGCTATGATGTAGCAAATATCAGGATTTACTTCTTTTTATGTCTCGATTATGTATACATGCTGCATTTCTTTATTAATGTGATAACAGTAGATGACAATCCTTGACTACTGTGAAGGATGATGTTATGATAAAGGGAATGTGCATGCATGTTGTCCTGTTGATAGCATATCCTTTGGACAGATACAGTAGTGAGATTTCTGAATCTTATGTTAGTTCTATTTTAATATTTTTGAAGAATCAGCACACTGTTTTCTGTAATGACTACACCAGTTTACATTGACAACAAAAGAATTCAAAGTTTGTTTTTCTTCATATCCTCACCAATATTCACTACCTTCTGTGTTTTTTGCAATGACTTGTTAGGGACCAGCCATAAAATGTATATTTTGCCGGGGACCAGGCCACATGCCCTGCAGTCCTGAGTACTGGTATTAACTTGCCTCAGGAACAGAGAAGTTTGAAATAGTTACAGACTTCCTGGCTGTATGGGAAAGCCATAAGAACAGTGCTCCTGAGGCAATATAAAATACAAGTATCCAGATATGGGGAAGGACCTTAACTTGTTCCCTTTGAGATGATTAACTTGTTACTTATCTTGCTACCTCTAATCTTACTGCAGTCACTGTTCCTGGAAAACTACATTACCCCCTCTCCTGTGCTTCTTGCTGAATAATAAAAGCATGTCCATGGTGAAGTTAATTGAGTCTATCCACTAGAGGCCAGCTTCTCCTGGTCCTAGGGTACCTTGAATATTGTCTCTGTCTCTTTTTTATTCCCCATCATCCTCCCTACAGGTATTCAGGGATCTGATCAGTCCCCCAAAATAGCCCCTCTAACATGTGTGAAATTATATCTAATTGTGGTCTTAATTTTAATAACCCTGATGATTAATGATAGAGAATCTTTTCATAATGACTTGGCAATTTTTATGTCTTCTTTTGAGAACTGTCTATTAAAATATTTTGCTTGTTCTTATTCATGTGATTTGTATTCTTTTTTCCATTAAGTTTATTGGTAGCTTTTAGGTATACAATACAGTTACATTCATCATTGGGATCTTGTACCTTTACATGATGTATCTTGGTTCTTATTTTTTCCCAATTCCCCTGCCCTCCTTTCACCTCCTCTAAAATTTCCTCTTTACAAAGAATTTTTTTTCTATTTTTCCTTTTCTCATGATTTTTCTTTTACCTTATTTCTTTTCCCTTACTCTTCCACCTTCCCCTAGTCTTTTAGACCTCTTCTTCCTATTTCACAATATCAATTATACATTTTAATCCTTATTTACACTTTTAGTTTTTCACACAAGAGAAACTATTCAGTATTTACACATGTCTGTTCTATATATTTCACTTAAGATTATGGCCTCAATGCACATCCACTTAGCTATAAATATGTCTCTAGTTTCTCATTCTTTATGGCAGAGAAGTGCACCATTTTACATAAAAAAAAACACATCTTCTTTATCTAATCTCCAGTTGATGTGCAATTGTGCTGTTTCAAAGTTTTAACTATTACAAAGTGTGCCAATGTAAACATGGGTGTGCACATATCGCTGTGGTATGATACTTTTAATTCTTTTGGGAAGATACCCAGCAAAAGAACAACCAGGTCAAATGGGTCTTCTAATCCTAGTTGTCTGAGGCATCTCCATATTGATTTCCACAGTGGTTGCATGACTCTGCACTCCCAACAATGAAGAAGAGTTCCTTTCTCCCCACAACAAACCCCCCCAGCATTTGTTATTGGTTGATTTCTTGATAGCACCTATTCTTTCTGGGGTGAGGTGGAATCTCAGTATTATTTTTATCTGCATCTCTTGAATGGCCTGTGATGTTGAACTTTTTTTCATATGTTTATTTGTTGCTTTTACTTATTTGTCAGAGAAATATGTTTGGTGTTCCCAATATTTTTGATATTGACTTTTTTCCAATGCATGATTCTCAAATAGATTCTTTTATTTTATAGGTCATCTCTCCACTCTGAATTTTGCTAGTTTTGCTGTTTGAATTGTTTAGTTTGAGCATGTCTTTTTTCCTAGGTTTTTTCTTTTTTGAATGAGGATTGAACTCAGGACATTGTTCTTGTGAGGCAGGCATTGGAACCATTGAACTAAATCCTTGGGTATTTTCTTGTTTTGCTACTGTTGTCTATTCATTTCAATAATTTAAAGAATTGTTGTCTAAATCAATAGCACAGAGATTTCATCTATGTTTGCTTCTAAAAGCTTTAAATTTCTTAGTTTAACATTTAAGTCATTAATTCCTTGTCAGTTACTTTTTGTATATGGTGTGAAAAGAAGATGTGAATTCATTCTTCTGAAGTGGATATCTATTTTCCACAGCACCATTTACTGAAGAAAGTATTTTTTTCCTGCTATGTCATTGACTTCTTTGTCAAAAAACAATTGATCATGAATTGATGAATTGGTCCATCAATTCTTTCACTCTCACTCTCTCACTCTCCCACACTGTTTTTATCTCCCTTTTTGTTCCAGTTCCTGCCCTTATTTGAGTTTCTTCTTTCTTTTTCTTTTCTTCTCTCTTTTTCCTTCTCTCAATTGTTATTAGTTTCAAATGAAAGTGAGTACACAATAGTTTCCCTATTGCCTTTAGGTTCTTGTTTTCAACAGTTTCCTAGAGTTGGCATGATCTTTCTGTGTCCTCTGACCTCACTTCTAAACTTTCCCTATCCTTCTACCTACCTAACCCTCCCTCTCCAACTCCTTCTACATCCCCATCCCAAAGGCTATATTGAAGAGTTTATTCACTATAAA